AAAAAGGTTATTTTGTTCTTGTTGGAATGAATTTGATATTTCTTCCTCTCACCTTCTTGTTTGGCTGAGAACTTTCATGTGATGACTCTTTCGAAAGTGATGAGCTACAAGATTCTTTCTTATCTGGTGTGTCACTTTCTGATGGCTAATCAATAAGTATGAAATTAACCATACCCATATTATACTTTTTGAGCAAATTATTCAAAACATCATCACCAGTGCACTACATAAAAATATCCAGAAAGTGGTAGAAACACACAAAGTAAATACATGATAAATTGTGCCTGATGCAAGCCACACAGAAGCCAAACGAACCTGTTTTCTCTTGGCTGGTTTTCCTGTGGATCTGTGTATTGGAGCAGAACCAAAGAAATCATCAACACTAACTGTTTGCTTTTTAGGTGTAACTGGCTTTAGTTTCTTGTCAGGTTGTGTTTGTTTTAACTCTTTATGGCTTAATTTTTCTTCTGACTTGGATAACTTTTTAATCTTCAGGGGGGCCTCATCGTCTTCACCTGCTAGAATCAAATAACAAATTCCAGCACATATAATCATGTAATAATTACAGTGGCGGCAGAGCCCAAATTGACTTTGGTGGGAGGAGGGGGAGCACAATCATAGACTTATACATGTAGTCATGACGTCACATCAACTTTTTGCAAATGCATTTTGCTATGACAAAAAAAAAGAATTATTTTTAAATTAAAATGTTTAAAATGTTTTTTTTGAATTATTTTTAAATTAAAATGTTTTGAGCGTATCCGATGCCGTTGTGTGTGGGGGGACAGGCCCCCTCAAATGTTTTGTGTCCACCACCCCTGAATCATTAGTTATCTAATTGTGTGTCATCTGTGTTATTACCTGATTCATCAAAGTAAGACGACTTTTTGTACTTTGATTTGGATAAATCTTTCTTTTTCTTTCCACTTTTCCTTCAAAACATCAACATAAAATAAAATATCAATTAAAGAAAAACAATGTTTTTCTTGTACAAGTCATTTAACATTTCACGAAATATTTTGCGTCTGCATTAAACATTTTTTTCAAGCTAGAGACAACTCATTTTCTTTATCATTTAACATTTGTACATGTTTTTCATGTACAAGTAATTTTAACAAGCATCAAATTGTTACCTTGAAACTGACAGTCAGTTTAAAAACTCAGTAAAATAAAATAATTTTAAAAATGATACTTTCTATGAGTTCTACACATAAAACAATACTTGTGACTTAAGTAATGGCCCGAGTAAGAACTATAGAAGCAAACGGCAAAGGAATGCAAGAAGGTGCTAATTGTGTATTGTATAATCCATCCATCCCATTGGTTCAAACAAGAAAATCTGCTATAATTTTACAAGTTAGCGCATTTTCTAATATTTTATTTAATATCTGATTCCGACTTCATGAAAGCTTTCTTTAGCTACAATATTAAGGCAATTCTATGTGGGGAACATAGCAAATTAGAAGCTTCTTTGGCTATTGTTTTGAGTGCTTGTGATTGGATAAGAGGTTTTACTACAAAAGAAACTTTGTTTCAAAATAGAGTCCATCCACATTTTATTTCAAAAATGCGTTACCCATAGGTTGATAATTATAATCACTGTGAAAACCAAGACATTTGTATGTGGGGAAGTTGCAATGCCGCAGAACAATAGAGAGTTCTACAGTTCTTACGTGCATTGTTACTTAAAGTATTGACAATCATCAACCAGAATATGAATTGAACCAACACACTTTGAAATGAAAGAACTAAAAAGGCTTGTTTTAAGATATATATTACCTCAAATCTTCTGGAAGAGGATCTTCCTCAGAATCTATTTTTAAAAAAACACAACGCATTTTAAATTTACACTAAACAATGGATGGGCTAATCATCAATTACTTGCTATTTTAATATCA